AGAAAGAATCTAATGCTGTTAGGGTGATATTCCTGCCAAACAGAAGAGCCAATGTATCTTTGGGGGAGTGCTGGGATGGTACAGAGGAATAATAAGCATTACCATTCACAGCTGCAGAACTCAAAGCAGTGGTGATTCTCTGTAATATTTTCCAAAGTACTTTTTAATTAGTCTCCTTCTGACACTCTCCCAGTGAGAAAGGTAAAGTAACACTCCCTTCCTTCCACTGATGAGGCTCTGAAACAATGAGAGGTTAACTGACTTGCCTTGGGCTGGCCTGACCCAGTGGAGGGATTTCCTCTGCCTGTAACTCCTGCTTTCCATGCTGACAGGGCTGCCTATGAGAAGGCCTTAGGGGAGGGAAGTTTCCCAGCCAAGGAAGAGCGTCTTGCTCTTTACGTTGTAGACTTTGAGACAAGGTCTCATGTAGCCCAGTTGCCCTCTAACTGACTGACTGACTGACAGACTAACTAACTAACTCACTAACTAACGTAACTAAACTAACTTTGTTAAGGATGACTTGAACTTTTAGTCCTCCTGCCTCTATCTCCTGAGTGCTGAGATCATAGTGCATTACCCCAGGTTGTGGTGCTGGGGATTGAACCTAGCATGCTAGGCAAGTATTCTCTCAACTGAGTCAAATCTCCATCCCTCCTCGCTCTCCCCGCCTTTGGTTTGAGGGATCAAAGTCATCAGTGTAATTCTTGAGTCCTGTTTGGGGACTGCTGAGAGAGTGGGAGGAGTGGTCTCATATCAGTCCAAGAGCCTTACCCTGAAAATGGCTTTGCCGGCTTGAGCTGAGCTGCAGGAGTGGTGGATGACAAAGAAAATTATTTTTGGCTCAACTGCTCAATCTGACCTAGGGGGCCTTTGAATTTGAGATGTGAACCTGACATCCACAGAGGGCTTCAGAATCTGATGTTATTTCCTCCCTGTGGTTCAGATGTTGGTCTTTTTTTTTTTTTTTTTTTGTACAAAGGTTACCAGTTGTTCCTGGTGTGTGTTCCTGTTAAAGCTTGTTTATAAATGAGATATTGCAATGTATGTAATTAGGACTATGGAGATGGCTTCTAATATAGCAGGCCCTTGCATCCCTTCCACTTGTTTCCAGTAGACCTGCCAGAGTGGGAATCATTTTGGCTTAACTGCTCCTAATAGTGCAGCAGATTACTGCCACAAAACCAGGTCAGTGCCTTTGAAGACATGGTCTTAGATAAGAAGTTGCCACACTGATGTTTGTCATTCTTGCACACTGAATGTATTTTTCCTCTGGCTCTTTATAGGCCTTCTAATAATTAGCCAAATACTTGTAAGAATGTTATGGGTTTGTGGAGGAGGGCAGGCTTAATAGGGGCAGGAAAGCACAGCCCTTCAAGACTATAAAATTGGCTTATTTTCCACATTAAAATGTTTACAAGTTATGGAGTATTATTATCAGGGTCTTCTTTGTGTTCTGTAAGTGTTCAGAGCTGTAAAAATGTTTTTGTTTTTCTCTTCTGGGGATGGTTAGAGACACTAGAGTGCTCCAGGGTTTGATGTACTGTTATAGGCTTTCCTACACTTCAAACCAGGCTGTCTTAAATCTCTGGCAGGGGGATTGCTTACCTTTATACCAAGAAGATTGGGAAAGCACAAAAACCCATATGCGGTATGTGCCCAGGCAGGCTTCAAGGAACATGTACTGTGAGATCTAAAGTCCTCGTTAAAGGACTGTTTAAAATGCAAAACCCAGTTAGCAAGGTCTTTGGTGGTTTCATGTATGTTGACTGTGTCTGTGACAAAATCAGGCATGATTTCCTGATCGAAGGGTAGAAAATAGTGGTCAAGGAGTTGAGGGCACCAGCACAGAGTCAGGGAGCTAAATAAATTCGAAAGTTGTTTATGTAATTAAAAAAAATATTGCAGTTCTAGAACCCCAGCCAGTTAAGGAGCTGATGCAGGATGGAAGAATGCTCAGGGCCTATCAGAGCTACAGAGTATGTTCAAGGATAGCCTGGGTAACTTAGCCTGGGTATATAGCTGGAGCTATAGCTCAGTAGTAGAGTGCTTGTGATCCTGGGTTCAGCCTCCTAGACCACAAAATTAAAATAATAAAACAGGAAATGCTCACTTCAGTCTTAAGTTGTATAACACACACTAATAGATACTTCATAGGCTGAAGCTGATCTAGCTTGGGTCCAGTGTTGCCCTGTGTCTTCAGAATGAGATTGGCACTGTTCCTCCGCACCCAGAAGTCCTCCTTTGCACCCAGTTGTTTATCTTAAATATGTATGTGGTAAGGAGTAAGTAGGTTTGTATATGGAGCTTATAACTCTAGATAATTTATTGGATGGGGAAATAAAGGCCAGACATGGTAGAGGGATGAATCAAGGTTGATATGATCTTTCCTTCTGTGTGTTTTGTCTGGGACAGGGATCCTTGGTTACCTCCTTTGCCCTTTCCTTCCTGGATGGAACAAGAAGTAAAGCAGGGTGTGTGTGAACACCAGGAGTCAGAAGAGAGAGGGATGGGCTCTGACTTTGAGAACACTGAGGACCAAGAAGAGGACTCAGAAGAAAGAGGAATGGGCTCCAATCCACAGGACAAAGAAGAGAGAGGCCTCCTGGAGCAGGAGATGGGCTCCAACCCACAGGATGAAGCTCTAAGAGGGGACTCCCCAGAAAGGGAAGTAGTATCCAACATCTGTCCAGGTGAGAAGACTGGTGTACCTCTGGAAGTTGCTCCAACCACATTTATATCTGGTTCCTCTGAAATACAACCAGGAGCAGCATCCTGGGGGTCTGGGGACGGGGAGGGCTCTCTAGAGACCATGGAGCAGGATTCTGTACTAACTTGGTCTGCCTAACATTGATCCTCGGAGCATCCTTTTCTTAAGTACCATCCACCCTTGAGGCTGTGCTGGTATGTATGGGTAAAGAGGATCACTCAGGGTGATGCACTTCCCAGGAGAGTTCGGCAGCATATTACCACTTGTAACAACATAGAATCACAGGCAGTACTGGCACCTGCCTCACAGGTATTGGGAGATTAAGATGAGGTGATGGATTTAAAGAGTAACTTGGGGGTGGGAGAGATGTCTCAGCTGTTAAGAATGCTCTTGCCAGGGTCCTGGGTTCAGGTCCCAGCATCCACATCTGCTGGTTCACACCTGTGGAGTTCCAGGCACTCCAACACCCTCTTCTCGCCCCCTTGGGCACCTGCATGCACCTAGTGCACATAAACTCACAGAGGCACACACATACATATAAATAGCAAACAAATCTTTTAAGAAAATTAAAGAGTGACTTAGCATGGTGCTGGACAAAGTATATATATTTCCAGTTAAATCACCATCTCCCTTAATACATAAGTAAATTCAGTAGTTAAGTGACCTAGCTAGTTTCCTGAACCTGATTCCCAAGTCCTGACACACTCCCTTACTATCCCCTGACCTGAAAGCGAATGCTGGGCTTCTAGCCACTTCCTTGTTTCCTTGCCTTTGGGCTCTGGTGGCTTTATCCTGCTCAGTATAGGCCTCAGGAGCAGAAATGAGCCAAAATACTTAGAGCCAGGACTGTGAGGCTACATTCCTTTCCCCAGGACAAAGTCCCTGACTCCCCCGTACCCTCCGCAGTACACATTTTCTGTAACTCCCAGGAGTGCCCTCCTCTTGGGGAGGAAGCAGCTAGACACTGACAGGTATGTGTCACCCTAAGCAGTTTATAACTTGATCTCACCAGTTCTGGACTGTCAGTCTCTACTTTTCCTTCCTCCACCAACAGTCAAGTTGGTTAGGTGCCTTCAGTTTGCCCACAGGCGTGTCCAACCTGCCAATGAGGATAGTTATGAATGCTGCCCAACACAAAATTATAAACTTACTAAAGACATCATGAGATCTTCGTGATTCTTTGTGTGTATGTGTATGCATGTTGGTACACATGTGTAGCGGGTGTGTGTTGAAGCCAGTGGTCAACTTCCTGGTATTTCTCAGGAGCCATTTACTTTGGCTGTTGAGACAGGAGGGGGTCCTCATTGGCTTGGAGCTCACCAAGATAGGCTAAGCCCCAGGGATTTGTCTGTCTTTGCTTCCCCAGAACTAGAACTGCAAGCATCAGCTATCACTTTTTTTTTTTTTTCACTGTGGGTTCTGGGGATCAGGCCCTCATGCTTGCACAGTAAGCTCTTTATAGACTAAGCCATCTATCCTGTGTAATTTTTTAAAACCTTGATTGTACACTTCAAGTAGGCAGTGGGCCAGGGTGCACAGTCCTTTAGGCCTTACCTGGAGGAGCCCTGTGGGAGTGAGGCTGGAGTGTTAGGTGGGGATAAGAGAGATAAGGAAACTAAGGAAACTGGGGAGTCGGATAGGGGCAGTGTTGGTGAATGCCTGGGGGAGGCTCACTTCTCCTTTTGGCCCACACTCTGTTCCTCTATGATTACCGTTGCCCACCAGGCCTAGCAAAACTCTTTGCCAACTTTTCTATTGCAGAGGGGCTGAGTGAAGAAGAGGCCTCTCTCCTTGAGGAAGATGACCAACCAGGTGTGGCTGACATGGCGACATTCCCGGGACTGTCAGAATCCGACTGCATATCTCGGAGCCCCCAGGAAGAAGAGGAGGAGGAGGAGGAAGAAGAGGAAGAAAGTGCTGGGGAGAGCCGGCTGCTAGAGGAAGAGGTGCAGCCACCCCCTCCAGTACTTCCCTGGAGGCGCCACCTGTCCCTGGGGAGCAGGCACCGGGGTGACAAGCCTGCCCACCGCCGCTTCCACCGGTTCCATCACTCCATGGCCATGGACCTTGGAGAACTCGACAGCCTCATGGCCAGCATCATGGACGCGCCCACCATCTGCCCGGACTGCGGGGAGAGCTTCAGCCCAGGCGCCGCCTTCCTGCAGCATCAGCGCATCCACCGCCTGGCAGAGGCTGCAGCGGTGGCCAGCCTGGAGCCCTTCGGCCTGGCGGGCGAGTGCAGAGCAGTGGTGGGGATGATGGGCGTGGGCGTGGCCGGCGGCTTCGGGGCGGGGCCCGCACTGGCCCGGCCCCCTCGAGAGAAGCCCTTCCGCTGCGGAGAGTGCGGCAAGGGCTTCAGCCGCAACACCTACCTGACCAACCACCTGCGGCTGCACACCGGTGAGCGGCCCAACCTGTGCTCCGACTGCGGCAAGAGCTTCAGCTGGCGCGCCGACCTGCTCAAGCACCGGCGCCTGCACACGGGCGAGAAGCCCTACCCGTGCCCCGAGTGCGGCGAGGCCTTCAGCCTCAGCTCCCACCTGCTCAGCCACCGGCGTGCGCACGCGGCGGCCAATGGCGCAGGTGCAGCGGCTCTGCGGCCCTTCGCGTGCGGCGAGTGTGGCAAGGGCTTCGTGCGCCGCTCGCACCTGGCCAACCACCAGCGCATCCACACGGGCGAGAAGCCGCACGGCTGCGGCGAGTGCGGCAAGCGCTTCAGCTGGCGCTCGGACCTGGTGAAGCACCAGCGAGTGCACACGGGCGAGAAGCCCTACATGTGCTCCGAGTGCGGCGAGACCTTCAGCGTCAGCTCGCACCTCTTCACGCACAAGCGCACGCACTCGGGCGAGCGGCCCTACGTGTGCCGCGAGTGTGGCAAGGGCTTCGGCCGCAACTCGCACCTGGTCAACCACCTGCGCGTGCACACGGGCGAGAAGCCCTTCCGCTGCGGCCAGTGTGAGAAGCGCTTCAGCGACTTCTCCACACTCACGCAGCACCAGCGCACGCACACGGGCGAGAAGCCCTACACGTGCATCGAGTGTGGCAAGAGCTTCATCCAAAGCTCGCACCTCATCCGCCATCGCCGCATCCACACCGGCAACAAGCCGCACAAGTGCGCGGGATGCGGCAAGGGCTTCCGCTACAAAACGCACCTGGCGCAGCACCAGAAGCTGCACCTGTGCTAGGACCGGGAGCCCGCAGCTCCCGGGAGTCTGATGGGAGTAGGCGCCTGGGCTGCTGATCCTGTAGCAGGGGAAGGGGCGGGAGGGACCGTCATGTGTCTGGGGAGCCTTTTGAGGTGTAGGGGTCCAGAGAGGGGTTATTGTTGAGTAGGAGTTGATAGATCGAGGTGCTGTGTCTTGCCTACCTCTGCTCCGTGGAAGTAACTTTTAAATGTGCTTGAGTGGATGGATGGCTTCCTCGAATACACACTGTAGGGGAGTGGAGAGCCCCGGGAGCAGACTCTTGAAGGCTCTTGAGGAAGGGGATTTGGAATGGGGGAGGAGGGGAGAACGGAACAGCAGTCAGTTGAAAGGGTTGCGCTAACATGGTCGGTGGGCGAGAGGAGGGGGGGAGAGAGAGAGAGAGAGAGAGAGAGAGAGAGAGAGAGAGAGAGGTCTTTCCATGATGATTTTGAGAAAGAACAAATACTG